AAACCAATAGAACTATCTGGGGTGCCTGGGTGGCCCAGTCGGTTCAGCGTCCGACTCGATTTCAGTTCAGGGCATGATCTCATGGCTCATGGGTCCAAACCCCACATCGGGCTTTGCACTGTCAGCGCAGAGCCTGCTTGGGATTCCCTTCCCCCCACCCCCTCTGCTCTACCCTCCCTCACTCGCGTGCGCACGCTCTCTCTCAATAATAAACTTAAAAAAAAAAAAAACTCCTAGAAATATCAAAAACATGAATTGCACTGTAAGTAAATATAAAGCTTAAAAGTAAAAAGCAGAAATCCACGTGGCTGCCACTGCCTGTACCAAGGAAACCACGTGCAAGGTAGGGCAAGGACCCGTGCTGTGGGCTCTAACAGCCCCCGCCTTCACTTTGAGCATATCACCTGACTTCAGTGTCCTCCTCTTTATTTTTATTTTTTTTTTCAACGTTTATTTATTTTGGGGACAGAGAGAGACAGAGCATGAACAGGGGAGGGGCAGAGAAAGAGGGAGACACAGAATCGGAAACAGGCTCCAGGCTCTGAGCCATCAGCCCAGAGCCCGACGCGGGGCTCAAACTCACGGACCGCGAGATCGTGACCTGGCTGAAGTCGGACGCTTAACCGACTGCGCCACCCAGGCGCCCCCAGTGTCCTCCTCTTTAAAACGAAAGCAGTGACACCTTTGCTCTGGGGGCTGCTGGGAGATCGGATAAGAAAATATGTATGAAAGAGTGGGGCACAGAGAAGGCCCCGGACATCAGTGCCTGGCCCCCTCGGCACAAGTAGCCACCGTCGGTCTCTCAACATGTTCCCAGCACATCTCCTACAGATTCCCTGCCTTTGTTTACATCTTGTACTGTCACTTCCCTGTGCCCTTATTTAGGTAGTAAATCAGACTCCCTGCACAGTGCTCATGGCAGACAGAGGGGCCTCGCACCCTGCCTCCACATCCATCTGGGGTGCCACTGTGCACGGGAAGAAGGGGTCGCCCCCACCCCCACAGGTGCCTGCTATTCAGGGGCACGTACACTCTCAGGCTCTGACCCCATGAGCCCCCCACTCAGTGATTCACCTTCTCCAGCATTTCCATCGAAAGAGCAGAAAGCAAAGTCAGACTTTCTACTGATCTGTGATCCCACTTCCCTGACCACCCTCCTGTTCCCTGGGCATAGATGGGGTGGCAGAGGGCTCTGCCCACCCCCCCAAGTCCTGCCCCAAGGGCGCATCTACCTAAAGACAGCCCGGACTCCCCGACACCGTGCCCAGAACCAGGCTTGCAGGTTGGGAAGGGCACCAGGCGACACCGCCCACCCTCAGAGAGAGGCCCTGGATCCCGCACCACGGCACCTCAGTCCCAGAAACACCCCCCATCTCCCTTCACAGCCCCTCCCCCCATACGGCCATACCCCTGGCCTCCACCTCCCTGAGCACCAACCATGGGCCAGGCTCTTCTCATTTAACCTCTCACATTCCTGTGAATAGGCATCTGTTAGCAGAACTCCCATTTTCCAGATGAGAAGGCTGAGGCTCCAGGAAAATAACTCCAGCATTTGCCCAAGATCCCACAGCTAGCAGGGGGTGAGGTCAAGATGTGAATCCAGGCCTGCCTTTTCGGCCACTCTCTCCCTGATGCCACAGGGAACGGGGGACGGCCTCGATCCCTCACACAAGTCCTTCCTAACATGAGACTTCCTTGCTTTTGTTCTGGATCTTCAATCCAGAACATCCGTTTGCAACCCCTGAATCCAGCTCTCTGATACCACTGTGGTCAGGGACTCTCAGCTTCTGGCAAATGGGAACCCTGCCTGGTGCATGCGAAATGAATTTACAGAATGCTAAAAAGTTTTGTAAACTCTAAACCTCTATAGAACTCTCGAGTAGATTAAAGGAGTTTACCAAATGCTTCTGTAATGCACGTTGAAGGGTTACCCCTTAATAAGAAACTGACCACACCGGAGATCGTCAAGACAAACTCTGCCTTCTTTTAAAGAGTATCTATATCCTGTGTTTACTACTTGCACAAGTTAGTTTTACAGCAGGAGAATACCTCGCCGCCCTAAACACAGCGCTCAGAGCAAAAGCTAAACAGGACCTTGGCCACAGACAGTGACTCTCCTGATGGCTCAAGCAAGCCATTTCTCGGTGCGTCCACCTCCCCTTCCATAAGCAAAGGAAATGGGAGGAAAACAGCCATGCTACAAGGTCTTCGGGACGGCCGCATGCATTTTTAGACCTTTGAAACTTCAGCCGTCGGCAGGACAAAAGCAGTCTGGGGACAGGACCTAGAAGCAAATTCGTGAACACGTGGAGAAGTGCGTCTTTCGGTGGGTCGTGCCTTCTGCCAGACCCTGCGACAAGCCGATGGAGGGGCGGAGGGGGGAGCTGCAAGCCTGTGGTGGCATCGAGGCTCCCCTCTGCCGAAGGAAGGAAGGGAACGTGCCCAGGGTCACCTCTGGCTTGCTGCCTCTGCACCTCAGTCCCCCCAGAGCTCACAGGGTGAAAGTTAAAAGCTGCAGGAGCGTCCCCACAGCCCATCCTCTCGCGGACCCCGTCAGTGCCAGGAAGAGGGCCCGGAGGCTCAGTAAGAGGACGTGGGTCTGGACAGGGCACGCTTCCCAGGCCTTCGAGTCCTCCCGAAAGAGAACTGATGAGAGACAGCTATGCCTCCGGCACCTTCAACACACAGACAGAAAACCGGAGACGAGCAGAGCCCCTCTAGTCGATATGGTGACACCTCGGATGCGCTCGACACCAAACACTGCTGATTTAAGCGAATTCCAGAGTCCAGAAAAAAAAAAAAAAAAAAAAAAGTTTGGTTTTTTTTTACCATTTTCCCAGCATCTTCTGGGTCTGTATCTCAGGAAGTCAGAGGTGACACAGAGCCTACCTTTCATCAGAGCACGAATACAATAAGAGTAGCCATGGCAACCATACCACATTCTATGCTTACTGCTTCCTCAAGGTGTCCCTAAGAACGGGCACTGTGGCTGTTCCATTTTACGGAGCGACAAACTGAGGCATGGGCCCAAGGTCACCCAGGCATGAAGGATAAAACAAGGACTCAAGCCACATCGGCCAAACTCCAAAGTCTTTGTCTTAACCACGGAGTCTTCTAGCAGAAATGTGTAAATTTCCAGGATCTGTACATTTCCCCGTAATGATCCTGTAAGCATTTCTCAGTTAAACTGACCGGATGCTGAAGCAAATGCCGGGTTTGCAGTACACCCTTGTCCACACAGCTCACCCTGAGGTATCCCAGGCTGAACACCCACCTTCTGGAACCTAGTGCTGAAACACAGCACTAGGGGTTCCAAGGCAGGCAGGGACCGGGGGCGTGAGAGGGCAGCCCAGAGAAGGTGAAAAGAACATGAAGTCATCACTTTCTATCCTTAACTGCATGGAGGGGCAGCTGAACCGGGTGCCATGCAGAAGGTGAAGTGCTCCCCAGGAAAGCCGGGGTGCTCCCAGCCCCGGGGGGGAGTCCTGCTACGCCAGCCAGAATCTAGTCCATCTGTCCCCATCTCGCTGGGCCTCTGCCTCCGACCACCCCTCCGCCACAGCCCACCCTTCTCCCCGAGTCCACTCCCAGGGTGCTCCTGGCAGGGGCGGGGTGGGGGGAGGAGAGCCCCTCCACCTGCACAGTCCGGCTGTGGACCTGCCTCAGTCACCCTCCAGTCTCAGCACAGAGTCTGCCCCAGCAGGAACCTGATACCAACGTCTTCAGTGGTGTCCACAAAGCTGGGGAAGGGTGCCGGATTCCCGTCCAGAAGCCACCCTTCCACCCAGCTCGGTCCCGGAGGAGCTATGGAGCCCTGGGCGAGCTACGCAATTTTGCTAAGCTCACTCTCATCCTCTGTAATCTGTAAGAAGGGATCCTGGTCCTGCCCACCTCAGGTGGAAGGTTAAGGAGGGAAGACTCCGGAAGGTGGGGGCCCTTAGAGAATGTCCCTACAGGCACGCAAGGCCACAGGTGAGCACAATTCCAAGCATTGTGTAGGCCCTTCCTAGATGCTTATAAACTATCTAACAAAGATCACGTCCTCAACGGCCACGGCCACGGCACGAGCTGCTGGGAGCAGGAAATAGGAATCCCCCCCAGCCCCTCGCTCCTGGGATGGGGCTGCTGGACCTCCAAGTCCGCTACTGATTTTTATGCTCACTCAGGGTTCCATTTGCATGTGACAGGTGAGGAAAGCAGGCCCCCAGAGGCAAAATGGCCTGAAGCCTCACAGGTGGCACAGGCCTGCATCACACTCTCAGGGGAGAAGAGATACTTTCTTGCCGCAAAACTCAAGCACCTGCTCCTCACAGAGGGCGTGCTCACCCCACCCCAGCCCTCACCCCAAAGCAAGGCGCGTCCCTGGAGGTTACTTTTCTTCGCAACGGAGATGAACACACCTTCCCTGGCCTAGTCCTTCAGGTAATCAGAGGCCACCAAGGGTCCACGTTTGCAGAAGGACTGGCAGTCACATTACCTGACTAGAAAGGAACCCACCCTGTGCCCTTGGCAGAACAGACCCACCCGAGCTCCCTTACAAGACCGTCTTACTCAAGGGGAGAAAACCAAACCGCACAATGAGCCCCTGAACCAAATCGGGACTCTGTTCTCTGGGACTTTACACAGTCATTCTCAGTGTCGTAGGGATTTTCTGGGGTTTTAAGCAAATAACATTTCGAGGTGGGGGCGGGGAGAGAGTGACATTATTCGGGGACGCGAAAGCGTCGAGACCCAGAGCCAAAACAAAGCTGAACATGGGAACGCCACAGCCGGTGTTGCTTCTTGAAACCAAAGCCAACTGCATGCATAACTTGTCAGGGGCTCGTTTATCAATGAGAACCGACAGACACGTTTCCTACGAGCTCTCGGGCAACGCTCACTACCGTTCCTGCCACGTTAACCCACCAGACGCCGCGAGAGAAGAGCGTGCTGCGGGCTAGAACTTGCTGAGCAAACTCAGAAGGAAGGGAACGAAGGCCGGGGAGAGGACCGGTACTTACTGAGCACAGAAGCAGACACCAGCTTCGCCTGCAAACCAGGGTGAAGGAGAGGAAGGCAGAGAGCAGGGGACAGGGAGACACAGCAAGGGCCCCAAAGATAATCTACTGAAACGTTAAGCCACTTAGCCTAAGACGACCATGACCTGTTCTTCAGTCAGACCTGTTTACGAGTACAGCGAATTTAATCAAACCATGATTAAAAACCAAAAGACGTGAAGAGTTTAAAAAAAAAAAAATTTTTTTTTTTTTTTTTTTAAACAAAATCAAAAGTCTATATAGAGAAGCCCCTATAAGAGGCAGTGTGCTCTGGGCGGAGCCAGCAGGGCTCAGAGGAAACATGGATTCTGGCGTCGGCTCTGCCCCTGAGCCGCGCTGCCTGCTGGCCAAGCCACATTCCCTCTCTGGGCCTCAGTTCCCTCCCCTGTCAAACGGGAGTCATTATTTCTGACTAGCGAGCGTGTGCGTGCAAGCCACCTGCCAGGTCATTCTACCTCTCTGAGCCTCAGTTTCCTCGCCTGTGACATGCAAATGGGAACTGAGTGTGTCTGAGTCTCAACCACGGATCTGAGGGCTGTGAGCTGTGAGAAAGGATGGTAAGAGCGGAAGGAGCAACCGCTGTGGAGGGCTGTGTGCAGGCCGCCTTCCTGGTCCTGCTCGGAGCTAACCTGTCATGTTCAAGGTCCCGGGACGCTGGACAGCAGCAAAGGCCAAATCCTCACTCGCTGCACAGCCTCAACTATCACCTCCCACACGGCAAAGCAGGAAGCAGGAAGCCACCCTGACGTTCTGATGTGTTAGCAATCCCAGGGGCAGGTAATACCAGGTAACTGGAGGCTGGGGGAGGTGTGGTTGCAGAGCCCGCCCCTCTCTCTTACATCCTGAAGGACCAGAGACAGGACTGTCGTACGAGTGCATGTTCCAAGCTCAGTCCCGAAGCACACAGGGGCGGCCTGGTGTCTTTCAGTGACACTGACAACATTCTGAATTAGGAGTTTCTTGATGGCCCAGGAAGTCAGTCGGTCACCAGCTTCCACACCTTCATCCCCCCACCTCCGCTACGAGAACACCCTCTTCCTTTCCAAAACATTTATGGAGACTTCCGGGGTCCAAAGACGGCTACGTTCTCCTGCTCCCGCAAGATGAGCCGCCCCCCAGCCTGGGCTACAAGCATGGTCTTCATGCTTGTGTGGCTCCAGAAGGTCCATGGGCAGGAACAAGGACTCCAGCCCCAACCCCGGCCACACCCCAGTGCTGCTCCCACAGGACTGCCACGCCCCCGCACAGAGGGATCATGGGACACAGCTGGGAGGGCAGCGACCTCTTTATCTCGGGGGCCCGGGGCCCCCTACAGTATCACAAGTATCACAGTGAAACGCTGGAGAAGACGCAGGAGGCTCGAGGAGGACTGGTAGGGACACGAGAACCACCAGGGTCCCCACCTGCCACCCACTCAGAGGTCACACCCTGACCTCATCTTACAGGCAGGACTTCACCCGCCCGATCCCACCGAGTCATATCACCAACCTACTTTACAGGGTCTGGTGGAGAAATTAATCGACAGGCTGACAATCCACGCCAAGCCTTCCGCCTCCTCCCCTCTACCCGCTTCCTCCTGAGAGTTCCACCACACGTTCTACAACGGCATCATCTGCCAAAACCAAACTCTTCGAGAGACTCAGCTGCCTGATGGGTCTGTTAGAACGACACGTACGCCTGAACTCCAAGGCATCTTGGGTCAAATCCCCGAAGCCATCTCTCTGGTACCTCCCTGGGGGCTTCCAAAGGGTGGGACAAACTCTACTAAGCTCACCCTGGCCGTGGGCTACAGCCCCGATGAGGGCGGGGGGCACTATCTGTGTAGCAACAGCCATCCGTCTACACAAGGGCCAAACCCACACCGGACCGTTGACTGTCTGGACAGAGAAAGAGACTCCTGTCACAAGGGCTTCCCGGAGGTCTGGATGCAAGGTAAAACCCAGGCATTCTGCACCAAGCCACTTGGAACTGGCCGCGGAATGGGTCTAAGGAGCTTGGGGAGCAGCTGCTTCCTGGGTCTGGAGCCCCATTTTTATCTTCTGGCGGGGCGTGGGTGCAGGAGAAGGGAGGGGCACCTCATCTGTAACCGGCCTCCACTTCCTTCCAAGCACCCTGGATGGGACACCGGGGCCTCCTTGCACTCAGGGCAAAGGCCTTGGGGCGCTGAAAAGGAAATGATGCAGCCAACCAGGTTCACCTGGCTTACGGGGAAGGTGCTTTAGAAGCCCCGCTGAGCTGTTCCAGAATGCTCCACCCAGATCTTGATGGCTCTAAGTGAGGCTCAAAGGGCCTTGAGACAGTTAACCCCATTTCCAGAGCTGAGCAGATCATGCTCCCCGTGAGAAACGGCTCCAAAAGAAACTGATTCACTCCCCCGCTTGTCCCCAAAGTGCCTGAGAACCTGCCAAATGCACCCAGCTCCGGCTCTGGTTGTGTTATCGTCATTGTCCCCCTCCTGGAACCACCGGGACCTGTTATTGTCATTGTCCCTGTCCTGGAACCACCGGAACCGGGTTTTGAGCTGACTTGCCTTGCTCTCAGGAAGCCCATTTCATCAAGTCAGCAGCAAAACTCCACAGCCAGGCCTGGCCTTGGAACACCTCCCAAAACCTGGCCCCAGGGGCCTTCGGATCATATGGAAGGGCCTGGCCCTGGTCAGGAGCCTCGTCTGGAGGAGATACCAGACGTGCAGGGCTCCCAGCCAGGGGCGACACGAGGGGAGGTGGGTAGAGATTAGCAACGTCCTCAGAGTCAGAACTAATAAGAAAGAAAACGAAGCTGTCAGATTACATTAGGGGATGGGATCAGAATGGGTGAAACCTAACAGGTACCGGTCAGAGGCCAGCATCCGGGCACCAAAACAAGTTTCAGGCGCTCTCAGGGAAGACTTAACAGCAGGTTATCATCTCTGAAAAACTGTATTTCATCGTTCAACAAGCCCGCACTGAGCGACTGGTGCTGCATGCGTGATGGGAGGGGCTTTGAAGGCGCAGCAAGGCCACAGGCCCTCCTCCCAAGGAGGTGAAAACTATTAGCAACTGATGCATGAGTGAAGTAAAAAGCAAAATAAAATACACTAGGAAGCAGAGCACATTCTAAAAAACAAGTCACAGGATAACATAATCGGGCCTTCTGAAGTTCAGAAATTGGCATCGCAACTTTCCGGGCTAAGAACAAAGCAATGCTGGGGTCCCTCCCTCCTGCACCTAGGAGGGTTCTCTGCCTGGGCAGACTTTTGCTCAGTTCTCTTACTAATGAACCAACAAAACATTGACTATGGCCGTGATATGCACAAAGCCTAGAAAGCGCCCAGAAGCGGCCTCCACGTCCACAAGACCCCAGCAGACAAGGCTGGCAAAGCCGCTCGGCGGCCTGCTGCCCAGCCTGGCCACTGTGGGTGGCAGGAGGGTCTAAGCCTGGCACAGGTGCCCAAGAGGCAGTCTCTCCCAATGCTGCTGACCTCAGCCTTGTGCCGGCCTCACTTCACGAGCCCAGGTGAAGCCTCTACCACAGAGGGGTCATTGATAGATAGCAGGCAGCAAAGGGATAAAAGTTTCTCTCCCAAACTCTCAGTAGAACCCAACTTAAAAGTGACTTGCCTTCCGCAAAGAGGAAGGAGACAACCTCGACGGAGATGAACCTGACACATGTCATGGGCAAAGTCCCCGTGCCATCCCATCACCCTTGAGCTGCGGGAGCGTGTAGTACCAAACTCACCTCCCCTACAGCTGGTCCTGCTTGTGCACCAAAATTCACGCACCCGCTGCCGCAGCCAAGGTGGGCAGCAACCGAACAGCCCAACAGTAGGGGCAGGTAAACAAATGCCACAGCACCCATGCAAAGGACAAAATGCAGCTTTTCAAAGGCCGAGAGCCCTCAATACATACTGGAAGGAAACCATCATCCAGTCTACCTAACGGGGAAAAAACAAAGACCAGCGGTGCCCGGGGGTGCTCAGTCAGTTGAGCGTCCAACCTCAGCTCAAGTCATGATCTCACAGTTCGTGAGTTCAAGCCCTGCATCTGGCTCTGCGCGGACAGCGTAGAGCCCTGCTTGGGATTCTCTCTCTGCCCCTCCCCTGCTTTCATATGCGCTCTCGCTCTCTCTGTCTCTCAAAATAAAAAAAAACTTAAAAAAAAGACCAGAACGGTGAGCATCATCAGCTCCCATTTAGGTAAAACTAAACAAATAATTCTAATGATATGGAAGTCTCTGGAAGAATACCAAAGACAGCGGTGTCTGCCTGGTTCAGTCGGTTAAGCGCCTGACTTTGGCTCAGGTCATGATCTTGCGGTTCACAAGTTCAAGCCCCACGTCGGGCTCTGTGCTGACAGCTCAGAGCCTGGAGCCTGCTTCAGACTGTGTCTCCCTCTCTTTCTCCGCCCCTCCCCCACTTGCACTCTCTCTCTCAAAAATAATAAATATTAAAAAAAAAAAAGAATACCAAAGACACTTAACATCAGCGATCTTTGAGGAGGGAAAGCAGGTAGCTGGGAACAGAAGCGAGAGGAGACTCTTCAAGGAAAGCCACTCTATTTGTTTTAAATCTTGAACCACACATAGGATAACCTATGCAAAAATATGTAATTTTTTTAACCTAAACTACATATACACATATCTGTATACACTTGCACATGAAGGGAAGATCTCTGGGAAGATACACAACAAAAGGACGACAGGAGTTCCTCCAGCAAGGGAAGGAGACGTGTGGCTGGGCGACAGGGACAGGGGACAGTTACTGTCACTGCTTTAAAAATTAAACACACAGGGGCGCCTGGGGCACACAGGGGCTCAGTCGGTTGGGCATCCGACTTCAGCTCAGGTCATGATCTCACAGTCCATGAGTTCGAGATCTGCATCGGGTTCTGTGCTGACAGCTCAGAGCCTGGGGCCTGCTTCAGATTCTGTGTCTCCCTCTCTCTCTGCTCTTCCCCCACTCACGCTCTGTCTCTGTCTCTCAAAGATGAATAAATTAAAAACAATTTTTTTTAATTGAGCACATACAAAATGCTTACAAGTCCCCAGATAACACCAGGCTATTCCGTGCGTCCGGACCCTTG